ATTTTGTTTGTAGCCCTAACACTGCAGAAGCAAATAATAAATATTTAGTCTTCACTCTTTAGGTATAGGTAAATAAAATGTTACTTAATTTATTACAGACCGCTTTTTAAAACTTAAAAGTGTAAATTGATGAAACTATAAAGACTTAACTATAATAATTATGATCGAAATCCGCATAATATAAAATTTGCAATGACAAATAAAACATTAACAAGACGTGATATTAATGTGATATTAATTATTTAACATAAAACATTTTTAGGAAATAACGAAATACATTTTTATTGCACGAGTGTACTATTATAAAAATCATATTTTCGAATATAATAATATTTAAAATATTAAAAAACAACTGGTAATTTTTATTAAACTACTCAAAAAATAATATTGCAATGTAATTAATTCAAATTATTTATTACACACATCAATACTAAATCTTACAAATAATATTTTATGAAATAATTTTACTTTTCAAAAACATATTTTATTATTTATAAGTTATAATTTACTATAATTCGTAGTTTAATATTATATTCTACCAATCTACTACACAGTTCTATAAATAAAATTATTATAAGTCGTTAAAGATTGTACTTCTAACAATTTTTAATGTATAAGTTACATATGGTAGTTATTACTTGTACCTATACAATAAATTAAAATAATAATTGCAGACAACAAATAAATCATAACTTATTATTGACAACAATGTTATTTACGTATAATAAATATCATGTTTCTGGCTATAAAATATTTTATAAAATGTATAATATTGATTGATATTTTTATTTCATGTTAATTAAAGAACGATAATTATTGTTTTATTGTGATTATTAGGGATGAAGTTAATAATTACAAAATACAATATAACGTATAGGTAATTATTTTTATTTTTATTCAATAAATAATGATTATATTATTATAATTTTATAACCAATATTCTATAATAACTAGACAAGCAACAACTAATAATTTTTTTAAAAATGTTCTTGTTTATTTTCTTAGGATTAAACATTATCTCAATACAAGGTTATTTTTTTTATTTTTTAAACTTAGTGTATGAAATTGATTTGCTACTGACTGCAGTAAAAGAGTTTTTTTATAAGTTTATTATTATCGTTATATTTTATAATACGACATATTACCTAAATGTCAATTTACAAAATTGTAAAAAATATATGAGATAGATACATAAATTTATAAATCAGATGTAATATTCTATGTTTACTATGTGTGTGCTATTATGTTGTGTTGAAATTGTTTTATTTTTTATTTTTTTATTTTTTTTTTGTTTAAGCTCAACAACAGGTATAGCGTTACGTTACTGATATAAAAATCTACTCTCATAATATCTAGCTCATAATGTAATATAGTTTATAATTCGCATCTATATTAAATTCCGATAAAAACATTCGATTATCGAGTATTATATAGCCATATAGGTACACATATACAATATACAAAGCATAATAAATTTTATAAATTAACTATTATAGGTAGATAACTAAAAAAATTGATTGCATTTAAAACCGCCGTATGATGTATCGGGTTTTCATCATTGTTCGTGTACCTAAATGTCAAATGACACCTTTATGTCTTAATTGTATTTAATGCATTTACATTAAGTTTTTCTAAAATACAATATTGGTACGCAAAAATGTAACCACAATTATAATGTTAATACTTAATATTATAATGTATATTGTATAGTACAAGTACGCTAATACGATTAAAAGTAAGTGTCTAACCGCCATCCCTCCTTCCATCAATATACGTTTATCGATATATTTTTTTTCTGTGAAACGTTATATCCTATACATACGTAATATGGGCGGAGGGTTTGCACTAATCGTTGGAAAATGATCAAAAGAACAAAATTGTTTTTTACTCAGACGTCTTAATCTGTCAACTTATTATCGCTATCGTCGGACGTGTGGTAAAAAATAAAACATATAATACCTTAATACCTGTGCAGGTGTCTACTGTTCCTGTTTTATATTTATTTATATTGGACGTCACGTTATTTGTATCAACAAAATCAACAGCACTAGTCCGTATATATAAATTAATTACACGCATTTGTACATACAATAATATATCTAATTTCAAATGTATACTCAGTTTAGTAATAATAGTATGCAGTATAACGGCAAGGTCTGTGACATTTTGCGTGACAAAAGTATCGGAGGGGGCGGATCACGTTAAGCTCTTGGCTATCTTTCACTAAATAATTGTTCACGCAACTTGCAGTATACTCAAACCATTAGGTAATCGGTATTAATAATATACGGTCGTTTTCAGTAAGGAAATGGTACAATAAGGGCTGCTGGCTGCCAGGTTGACTTCCAATATCGTATGCGATTGTTTGTCCGTCCGACAATCGCGATTCATCACACACCTTTGTTCCGAGCAGTTTTATTATCACAATTTATATAACATTAATGATAAAAACAGTTAATATCAAAAACAGCGTCTACCGACTACCTTTTATTATTGAAAAATCCGTTCTTCCCTATTATCCGCTTTCGGAAAATCCGAATGATACAATTATACAACACATCACGTGAAGTGTACAATGTACATCCATCTATCGACACCTGCACCGAGATAGGTCCGTGTGTAATAAAATTTTTTAGCAATATTTCTCGTTTTTTTCTCTCGCCCTTCACATTGCAGACCACTCGTGCACATTTTTTTTAATAATAATAATAATATGCACACCTTATATCAGTTGCACTTTATGATATTATATATTATGTGCATCGTTATCGCATGAGTGCATATTACGCACTATATAATAATAATAATATATTGTAGTGTGGAAATCGCATTACCGTGATGCCATGATATCGACGCGGCATGTTTTATTATGCAATACAGTGTAAAAATATTACATATTATATTATAGGTTATAAGTTATAACAATATGTACGTAAACATTGTCACCGATGAGACGGGTGAACGGTTGTATTTTTTTTTTACGCACCACGAAATTACGACAATACAACGGAATATCTGAAAAATTCGTGAAATTGTGTCCAATGTTATGTACGTAATGAGGAACAGTACTGCGTGTATTAAAAAAATATCATCTAATTACGGACACCTCCCAATAACGTAAACCTTATATCGGAGAACACTAACTGCCGACAGATTTGTACCTATTGTTCACGTCTATTTAATATTATGATGTTGTATGTTATTGTATCGAATGGTTTCGTTGTATACAATACATAATATTGTTATATATTTAATTCTCTCTTCGGTGAGCGTTCTAATAATTAATAATAATAATAATAATAATAATAAGAATTACATATGAAAATAATCTTGCATATTAAAATATTGTCTTAACACATGGGGATTTTACATAATTAAGAATATTTATACCTGTACGTCTTGTGAGTACGTTATTATATGATATTACGTATTATATTATATTACTTATTGGCTATTATTACTCTCTTTTCCAGTGAAACTATATGTTGTGTAATAGGGAAATATTCGAAATAATATAATTGTTACATAATAATATATACCTATGTACGAGTATTACGATCAATTGGTTCTTAGTAATAATACGCCTACGTATAACCTATATGTTTTGACTTAACTAAAATGTGAATTCTCGTCGCCAGGGAAAACTTCATTTAAATGTCACTTTAATTTAGTTTACATTTTACCTGATTAATCATAATATATTACGCTCCTGTGGAACAGTCATTACATCTCGATAACAATTGATTTGTAATTTTATAATAATTTTACACATGTTACAAACGTCGCTGCTATATAAAGGTTAATAGTCAATGGAGTGATATTGGTCCAGCGCTACATGATAACCTAACCGCTTCATAGTTTAGCTAAAATATGATTTTTTGTATTGTTATATTTTTAAAAATGAGTTTTTTAGTGAAATCTATGAGTTAATATGATATTTTTAATCACTTATCAGTTTTTTCACGAATAAAAAAAATATATATTTAGTTGTATTTAAAATATTAGCCCAACTAACACTGATTTATGTTATAGATTTGATAAATGTTGATCTTTTGGTCATTATTTATTCATCTGACTGTAATCGGTTATGTGTCGTGATATTTTAAAATAATGATATAGCGTTAAAAAAAAAATCTGAAAAATTTGAAATATCTTAAACCATATCTAAATTTACATTTTCTTAGATAAATTATCATATAGCTACTTCACATTCAATATTTTAACTAAATTCAATTTTTAATCAATAGAACTACTTGAAGCTTTTGTGTGAAAAGACCTAAAAAAAAAAAATGTATATTCCTATTATACATTTTCGTTTGACACAGAACTTAAAAATTGTGAATTGTGTTCAAACGAATGACAGTCATTTAAGTTTTATTTATTATTGTTCTAAAATAAAGAAATCTGATTTATCGTGTTTTTAATGTCGAGTTTACCGTCATTACAAACTATTCACATAAAGTTTTTTTTCTTAAAAAGACTTGGGTCATAAAATTTACGACGGCGTCATTTTTAATGTACTTTTCGCCCTTTCGAGTCATACTTTGTCATTATACAGTTTAGGCCCCCTTTTCTAATGTAAATTATACTATTTTCTTTTTACCATACCTTTTCATTTTGGTTTTCGTATTTTCGAAGACAACATATTTGTAAATTACATGCATTCTGTTTCAATCAACTATTCCAGTCTCATTAACAAAAAATAATCTAATGTATTATTTCATCACAAAATATTGTACACAATTATTATTTTAAACTTAATATAATAAAATATCGTGGTTTTATATGAAAAAAAAATTAGTTTGATTAAAATCTGTATTCAATTTATACTCCTCTACTGTACCGAACTAATTGCTTTTATTTTATTACAATCTTACTACTTTTTATCGGAAAATTATTTTAATGAAGATCGATCAAACGAAAAACTAAAACTTGGCTGTCACAATTTAAAGTCGATTTCTAATGATATATTATAATTTTTTTTTTTTTTTTGGTTACAGTTGTTAACGGATATGGACACGCCACAGTACAGTCTTCGGTGGAACAATCACCTGGTCCACATGATGGACGCCATCGAAGTACTCCTACAAAACGAAACTCTCGTGGACGTGACGCTGGTTTGTGAAAAGACCCAGTTTAAAGCTCACAAAGTGGTCTTATCCGCTTGCAGGTACCTACCCAATTTTATACTCAACTTTTATCATAGGAATTTAATTTTATATTTTTTAATTATATTGTATGTTTTTTTTTAGTCCATATTTTCAAAGGCTATTCTCTGAAACCCCGTGTAAACATCCCGTGATCGTGCTTAAGGACCTTCCCGACTGGGAGATGAGAGCTATCATACATTTCATGTACAAAGGGGAGATTAACGTTGGACAAGAACAGTTGCCGCTGTTGCTACAGGCTGCTGAAACGTTACAAGTACGTAAACATTATATTATTATTAGTGCTATTCGGGATTCGGGAAGACCTAAACATTTTATATACCTACGATGACAAATTCTCGGACGTTAACGTAAACTTCTCACGGTATCAATGGCTATATTTCTTTACTAGTATTATATTTTATTTAAATTAAACCTTAAGAGGATTATGAATTAAGATATAATTGTATCGATCCCGTAGTATCTGTATAGTTTGATTTTAGTTTACGGTTAAGCCACAACAAATTTACAAAATTAATTTGCAATATTAATACTATTATCTATTAAAGTAACAAAAAAAAAAAAAAAAAAAAAATGACTAATACAATAAAATTTATTTTTAAGAAAATTCATTAATTTCTACTAAAAAGTTTAAGAACCTAATAATAATATGTTTAACTATAATAGAACTTGTTTTCGTAAAAATTTTATGAATAGAGGGTTCGATGTTTATACAATTTTATCCAAAATATAATAAGTTCAGTAAATTCTGAGTTGAAAGTAATTACAAACCATGTTTCAATAAGTTTAATTTATCATCATGTCATACTTAAGCTATGATTAAATAAATAAATTATACTATATAATAATCAATGATATAGGTATTATTACTATTACTCCGTTAGGGGTACGCAATTTAAATACACGCACATTTCGGCCATTGTATTTTGTTAAATTGATTATAAAATATGGTTAAATTACGTTTTAGATAAATATAAACATGAAAAAATCAATAAAAGTAACACATAATAAAAATTACCTTTTTAAAAATATACTTATTTCTAAAATTGTATTCTAAAATAACCGTTGTTATTATAGTAAAACGAATAAAAAATTATTAAAAAAAAAAAAAAAAAAAAAATGGTCGGTTGCCAACTTTTGTAAAATGGATAGACCTACAACAGTACGACCCTTCATAATATCCATGTCAACTCGTTCAATATTATAAACCACTGTAACCTATGTATGGTAATGTGGGGCGTGAGGAATGAGGCCCCCACTAACGGGTGGGTCGTAGATCGCATTATTTGCTAATCACTTTCACTATGATATCTCGTGATTATAGATACGCGGACTGGCCCACACTGAACGCATTCCGTTGTTCGTGGATTCACCCACCTCGTCGTCGGCGACACCCACGGACGTCCAACCACCATCGTCGCAACAGCAACAGCAGCAACCGCTTCCGTCGTCTCATAATCACAGCGCAAGCGGTCATCATCACCATCACCATCACCATTCCAGCCGGGGCCACAGTCCCGGTGGCAAGTCTGGCACGACCGCCGGCCACGAGCTGATGAACGGACAGAGTTCACCGGGCAAGGGTCACCATCACCACCATCACCACCACAGACACCGGACTGCTGACTCGCCTCAGAGTCCGCGCAACAAGTCACAGCCGCCACCGCCGCACCACGCACTCGCGCTTCCTCCGCCGCCACCACCGCACCACCGCGACGGGTCCGCAGGTCGCATGTCGCCGACCACCAGGATGTTCTTCCAAGCCGCCGCGGCTGCTGCGGCCGCTGCTGCAGCCAATCCGTACGATCCTTCGCACATTCGTTTGCCTCAAATACAACACTTGCCGCCCATCACGTTCAACGACAGGAATTGTCCGTCGCCGACACCTCGCAGGAAACAGGTAAGTCGTACTTCCGATTCTGTGTTATACTATATATAATAAATTACGCATAATTATAATATATTCATCCCGTTTATCTTTTCTATCCGTTCCAATAAAATTCGAATCGAACGTTATTTTTTCGACGGAGAGAGAATTTTTCAATAATATCACATTCAGTTGTCAACAGACAACATATAGTACTTTACGCTTAATCTTAAAATAAATTGTTTATAATAAAATTATTATTCACATATCTAGGCGAGACCCAGGCGAAGATCAGGCGAAGCGATTGGTCCACAAGATTTGAGCAAAGCACCTTCTCCGTCAAACTTCAGTAACAATGTTGCCGAAAACTTGTCGATGAAAAAATCACCAAACAATGAAAATGTCAATAATGAAAACATGCCGACAAATTTAAGTTGTAACAATAAAAGGCCAGATAGGACACCGTCACCGTCGGCTGTGAGTTTTTAAATATATCTTGTAAATCTAAATAAATAAAACATAAATATATTATTAAGGTTTTATAAAATTATAAAATTAATTGATATTTTTTTCGGTTAATAAGGAAAATGACTCAATATATTTTTACATAGATATTTAAATATTTTAATAGTTTATTAAAAAGGAATAAAATGGTAATAAATAAAATAAAATTATTGCTATTATTTTTATAATTTAGCGTGTTAGTTAACTGAATTATATTTATTTTTTACACATACACTTTTATGTCTTATTTATTTCTTCATTATGATATATTTAATAAAATACATCATAATTGGCAGTATTTATTTTTGTGCTTATATTTTTATAACGAGATTTTTTTTCTTCTTCAGAAACAAATGAAGGTTGAAATAGAAGAATCAGAAATGATTGGAGACTTGGGACAGAGTCTGCCGGTAGAGTTGACTGCCAACAGTGGCAACCCAAACGTAAATAATAATAACAATAATAATAATAACCAGTCGAGTAACAAAAAAAACCACCACCATCACCACCATCATCATCTCAACCACCAACAACATCAGAGGCATCCGGATTTCCCTTATTACGGACCGGATCCCATGAGCATACCACTTAATCCACACGTAAGTTCACGTCTTTGCTGGTTATAATATTTTATTTTACGTATTTTTCCCCCTCTTTACCACGGGGACTCGTCGTTACTGTTTAGTTTGTTTATTTGTTTTGGAAATTAAAGTCCTCGAAAATATTATTAATGTTAACCAAAGTAACAATGATAGTTTTTGGTTGTTTTAAAATTTTAATGTACATAGAATCTACAAAATATATTATTAATCCCTTGGCAGTAACTAAAACGTGGATACAGTGAAGATTTTGTTCTAAAGGAAACGTTTCTTTTTTGCAAAATATTTTGAATAGTATTAATAATAATTATAGCACTGTAAACAAATATGATTTTAATTTTAAAAAACAAAAATACATAACTTTAAGTCATAAACATTGTTAAAATGGTCAGTTTCATTTTGCGTATTTAAATTAAATAGGTACATTAATGAGTTTTTAAGTTATATACATTTATGTTGGTAAAAGTTTACTTAGTCTACCATAATATCATCATAAACGAAGTCAAATTGGATAAATAGTACATATATAATTTTTTTTATAGGATCCACACTTTGAGAACTCTCTTTTTCCTCCTTTTGGACCGTTGTCATCGCTATCTCTACAAGGACCTCCTCACAGTAAGTTTAAACATGTATATTTTTAGTTAATAAATATAAAACATTGTTAGAGAATATAAAATTTAGCTTCTGTATGTATAAGTATGATATAGACTATAGAGTATACCAAGTAATTAAGATCCATGTGTTTTTCGTTAGGCGCTGTAGTTTTTTTTATGACAATATTTATTTTTTTCTTTGGAATTCATTATTTTAAAAGTGCACTCGACACATTTGAATTTTTTAACATAAAATATTTTGTATTTTAATTTATTTCAAACTTTTCTGCAGTCGCTGGTAAATAATTTTAACAGTTACTAAGCAATCAAATGTTTCAAATACTTTTTTTTGTAATCCATTTTAATTTTATCGAGGTCATAAAGCTAATATTTTTTTGTTTTTGTTTTATATTATAGTGTTTCCAATAGATGCCCAGTTTGGTAAGATTAACAGAAAAATATTTCATTACATATTACATGTTTACATAAGCGTGCACAGGTCTTCTTGGCAGGGGAGGCAATATCTTTGCTAAGGAGATCCAGACTTCAAACCCTTCCCCTAGATATTTTTTTCACAGCTTAGAGCTTGATGTGATCCAACGATTAATAAATAAATCCTCACACAAAATCAAGTATATGATTCTATTAAACTATGGTATTATTCTATACGGTTAAGAGTTAGGTTAAACATAAAATTACCAAAATAGTTTTCAATAAACCCTTTTTAATAATAATATCTTTAACGAATAGGTAACGATAAAAACCTACCTAATAGAACATAGAATACATAATAAGAAAAAATAACAAAAAAAAACATAATTTAAACAACTTTTAAAATAGGTAATAATGTAGTATGTTTTATTAAAGTTCCATACGTCGTTTGGAAGTAGGGTCTAATGTTTTAAAAATTTCTATTACTTCTTCATAATCTACATTATAAGCTTGTTCCTGTTCAATGAACATGTTTAAAAGTCCATTTAATCTTTCCTGACCCATCGTACTTCGTAACTTTGTTTTAACCAAATTTAGTTTTGAAAATGTTCTTTCACAACTACAACTTGTTACTGGTATTGTAACAAATAACTTGAATGCTTTTGTGATACTAGGGAAAATATTTTGTCTATCACAAGAAGATAACCATTTGATCCATTCATCGCATTTATTTTTCAATATATTTTTAGGAACACTATCGTAATTTTGCAAGAGTCGTATTTCTGTTTGTAAAGTTAGTGTATCCAGATTAAACGATGATGCTAATGTACACACATTGTCATAATTTGTTTGTAAAATTGTTAAATTGACTATACTCTTAATCATATTAATTGTTTCTTGATTAAAACGAATAGATATGCCATTGATCATTTGATCCAAAGCTGTATTATATACAGTTAGTTTCATTTCTTCTTCTTTAGTTTGAAAGAAATACTCGTTGGAATGAGAAGTATCTACTTTTGATGAAATTTTTCTTTTTCTTGAAGTTGGAATTGGAATATCAATATCAGTACATAATTTAACAGTATTTTTATAAATATTTTTAAATTCATATTCCTCATTTCTCATTTTATTCAGAGATTCTTTCAAGGATTCTACTACTTCCACAGCTGTCAACAAATTTATGTTAGAAGTTTGTAGAAATGTGCTTACTTTTAACACTGCATTAAGAATAGGATGAAACATTTCTAGAGCAAATATAAATTCAAACTTTTTTAGTTGAAAAATAATACCTAAACCTTTAACTCTAACATCAGATTGCTTGGTAGAATCTATAATTTCTTCAATTGCTACTAAAAGAGACAAATAGTTTATTTTTACTGCACTTACAGCTTCAGAACGGCAGGCCCATCTAGTATTAGATAAAGATTTCAAAGTTTTAAGTTTAGCATTAGTAGAATTGACAATTTTTTCAAAAATAGCATGTCTTGAACAGCTACCTTCTATGAAATTATACACTAACTGGATAGTTCCAAAAAAATCAAAAGCAATTCTATTTTTACAACCAACGGAATCAACCAAAATTAGATTTAAACAATGGCCGTAACAGTGTACAAAAAATATCTTCTTATTCTTTTCTTTAAATTTAGTTTGAACACCTGCAGTACTACCTGCCATTGTCGCAGCTCCATCAAAACAAGTTGAAACAATGTTTTCCCATTTAATGTTATATTCTTCAATGACATCACTCAATGTATTGAAAATGCTTTGAGCATTAACAGACTTTATTCTTTTCATTGTTAAAAACTGTTCTACAGCAGAGCACTTGGTGTCATCAAAGTATCTGATTACAATTGATAGTTGCTCGTGATGCCCTAAATCACTTGTTTCATCGGAAATCAATGATAGTTTTTTATCTTGTATACACTCTTTTAATTGTCTTTTCATCAATTGACTTATGGACAAAATTAAGTCGTTTTGAATCCGATTACTGCAATATAAAGCGTTTTTTTGGTCCAGAGTTAATATGTTCATTTAGAATAGGATCATATTTTGTTAAGAGTCCAACTATATCCAAAAACAGTCCTTTGTGAATATCATTAGACTTTTCACTATGCCCGCGAAACGGTTTACCACCTATACCAAGACAAACTGTTATATCAATTAGTCGTTTCATAATTTGTCTATTTTTTAATCGTGTTTGTTCTTTTTGACTGTGCACAAGTTCTCTATTTTCATCCAAAATTATGTCAATTGGTTTTAAATGTAAAAAATTGTTCAAAGATGTAGAGCTGTTTAAATGGGCTTTGGATAATTGATGCAATTTAAATTTAGATGTAGCCAGTTTCCAATTTTTAAAACCCAACTTTGAATAAGTTAATTCTGCTTGTCCAATATTGATTCCTGAAGAATGTGTAAACATTCGACAAGGAAAACAATATGCTAAATCTCCTATTTGACTATACTCAAGCCAAGGAAACTGTTTATACCAGTGACTTTGAAAATGTCGTAATATACCACTAAACGCTGTTTTTGGATAACTGTTTAGTATAGGTTGGAATGGACCATTCTTAATACGTTGTCTAAATTCAGTTTGAATTGTTGGTATTTCATTAATAGGATCATCAGGATGAAGTTCAGAAGAAGGAAATTTTTCCAGATCTATCAAATAACACAAATAATAATTTATTATTCATTCCTACTGATTAGTTACTTGTAAAATACTTAGGTAGTTAGAAATCACAAAACACATTTAAACTATTTAACTAGAAATAAATAATTATGTTAATTTTAATTACAAATCTAATACACAATATTAATTCGAAAGCCACCAATAATATAGCTAATAAATTAGTTGTATACAAAAAGCACTCACATTAAAAAAAAAAGATTGATAAACGTTTTTATAGATACAATGAATCTAGAAACACAATATTGTCAATATTATAACATTGAACACAAAGAGCTCACAAATAACACATAAACAAAATAGTTTAAAATATTACCAATACAACTGTCTAATAGTTCACAAACTGTAGTTTTTAATGACTGGTCCACTTTTGATTGTTCTATAAAATAATAAAATATATCAAAACTAAAATGATTTATTTTTTCAAATATTTATATTCATACCAGTTACTTCTGTTCTTAACTGTGCAATATCTGTAGAATCACTTGTACATTGTGGCAACAGCATTGGGTCATCTGGATCCAATTCATCTAAATTATTTTGTATATTAAACTAAGTGGTAAATAGGCACATCATACAGCTAAATAGTTAATACAGATTTATAATTTTCCAAATATTGTACAGTATAATCGACAATAGGTACTATTAATATAGTTGTTAATTACCTGATGATTCATTTATAGGTATTTCCTTTGCAGTTTCAGATAACTGATTTGTATTAAAATGCTCTATAAAACAATAAAATATAAAATATATTAAAATTAAATCTAATAATAATAACTTATATTAAATTAATTTGATTTTTAAATGTATAACTTAGATGTAATTTTTACTTAATAAATTGTAAGTATGAGTAATACATTGAACTAATTACTAATGTATTAATGTGTATACAATGATCAGATTACTTATATAATTATAAGAAAAACTATACAATTAATAAATTTAGCATTGAGGCATAGGTGCAGTCGTGCAGATACAAAATATAAGCAATAAGCTTTTAATGATTAATAAATTAATTATATGTTAACTTACCAGGATTTGGTTCAGGTTTGAAGAAATCGAGTAAAGTTTTTGATTTAATTTTTTTTGAAGTCATGTCTATTTATAATGGTACTTTTAAACAAAAAACAATAAACACTAAACAACAGCAAAGAATAATATATATATATGTTAAAGACTAAAGTATAACAATACGGCTTCCTTATTTCCTTGTACTTTGTATCAAAGTACCAGTACCGTTATTCGTTAATAATTGTTAAAATGTTGAATTTTAATAATACATAATTTTATTATAACAATAATAATCTATTTTAAGCTTTTGGTTTATCATTTGATAGCTACCAGCCATATGATTAGTAGATATTATCACAGAAGAAACAAGGTAAACATAATACCATAATTGTTCTGTGATAATATAATTGAAACTTGTAGCCACCATTGAACTATATGATAATATTATAATATTTTAAATTATCATAATATAGTTCAATGGAAGCCACGGACTAAGATATACAGGACTGTCTTATCAATATAATAATATAATAATATTATCATTGATTAAATATATAATATATTTATTATATATTATGTATACAATATACATATATTTAATCAATGATATTATTATTGTCGATTAAAATATTATCACAATTTGGTAGCCGGTAGGCGGTAGGTATCACGATTTAAGATATTGGTATATTATATCGTGGTAGGTATTAATGGTATTAATAGGTGTTATGTATAATAATATAATATAAGATCTCGGGGGTGCAGAAAAATGTCGCAGGGGAGGCAGCTGCCTCCCCTGCCTCCCCCGTGCGCACGCTTATGCATGTTTAGTAAAATATCGTTCAAAGAATTATTTTAATACTAAAATATAAAAAAAAAATTTTAAATTATTTTTTAGGCGTTTAAGATAGACAATTTATTTTCTTTTATGTAGTAGTGTTTGAAATAAAAGGAACAAATGCATATTGAATTTTCTACCTATAATAATAATATTATTTAAGTAATAGTAATACTCTTTAGTTTCTAAACATCATACAGTCAACATATCATAAAAATATATAATTAATTAGTAATTATATTCATATAGTATGATATTAAGTTATTATTAATAACTATTACATAATATTTAATAAAACCTACAATATTTTTTAATGATAGCTTTGAAGTTGTTTTAATAATTTTTTATTATTTTATGAGTTTAAAAACTTTAAAAAATTAAAGTTTATCTATTGAAATCCATTAAATTCATTTTAATACATTGGAGCGAGATTCTTAATACATTTTTTTTGTAGTTCTTTCTTGAATGATCACTTTATTGATATTGTAAATTAAAAATTAATCACGTAGTAATTGCATTTCATTAGTTATGTCTTGAAATGTATTGGAAACTTCAAAAATAAGTTTTTATTAAAAAAGGGGATAATCACTATATTTGCTAAAAAAAAAAAAATGTTTCTGAAAATACTAAAGTTTAGCATTACATTTATTCAACCCGTCCATTTAGTACTTACAAATAGTTACAAACCTGCGACCTTTATAAAAAAAATCAAAATAAATATATGGTTCCAAGTGTTAAATTATAATATTTACATAATTAAAATTTAAAATAATTTAAAATAGTTATCAATCAACTCTAACAATTATTCTTAAGATTATTTTTAACTTATTCTAACATAGTACAACAAATTGGGGAAATGGTTTTTGTGATTCCAACGTAACAACACTTTAATATTTTTAAATCGTAGATAATGCATTTTTATTTGTTTATGGATGTATATACAATCATTTTTTTTCTAATATGATCGATATTTATAACAGGTTTATTCCATGGTTTGGATGGCTGCAGAAACCCACTGCTAAACGAACTAATCGAGCCAAGGTTCGACAATCCACCACCGAGTAAAAAGAAAAGTAAGTAAAATAACTATAGGAAATACTTTTAGGCGCAACACTTCTAATTCGTTCATTATTTTGTAATATTCTTTCTCGCAGAGAAAATGTTCCCCGTTGGACGTCCCAAAGGCCAGCACAGTGCTCCGCGTGGAGGTCCGCCTAGATCATGGACGAACGCCGAACTCACAGAAGCGTTACAACACGTGTGGAACAAGAAAATGACTACGTCGCAGGCATCCAGGATCTTCGGTATACCGTACAACAGTTTACTCATGTACGTGCGTGGCAAGTACGGTAAATCCCTAAAACTAGAACAGTTGAAAAAAGAGTGTTTCGGTGATATAAACGGTCCACTGGACTTGTTGCACTTCGGATCCATATCAAACAACAACAACAGTAGCAACAAGAACAATAATAACAACAACAACAGCAGCAATAGCAACAACAACAATAGCAGTGGTGGCAACAACGGCCAATCAAATATCAACGGTAACGGTAATAATAATAATGGACCGACAATGCAGCCGTGCAACCCACCGTCTGAACCCGTCGACCTAATGCTGGGCCCTCCTGGATTCAACCCACCCGCGTTCCCGACACCCAACTTCTTCCCGGACTTCGGGTCCACTTTCCCGATGGGCATAGACATGATACACCTGATGCACCAGCAACAGCAGCAGATGTCATCGCTGTCGGCGGCTGATAAACACCAGTACTTGGGACTGCAAGACATGATCAGTGGTCAGCCACTGCAGTCGGCCGTCGTGCTGGACTACGCGATGAAGTCGCCGGCTGCAAGCCGCAGCAACTCGGAACCACCGACGACGGGCGGTGAGGGCGACGGTGATGGAGACGTCGACGGCGATGTTGAAGGTGATGGTGACTGTGATGACGACGACGGTGCCGACGATTGTGGCGTCGATGACGAAGAAGAGGAGGACGACGACGACGACGTGGTGGCCATGGACTTCTCGAAGGCTGGTGACGTTGGCAACGGTGACGTTGCTATCGGTGACGTTGCCAGCGGTGGTGTTGGTGGAGGAGCCGGTGGCGGTGATGAGGACGATGGAGTCGACGATGAGGATGACGACGACGACGACGACGAAAGACTGAGTCCGGAAGCGGATGACAAGGACAAGGAGCAAGACTGACACGGGGTGTTTAGGGACTACGCGCTGGCGGCGTTCGACGCGGTGCTCCGAACTTAATTTTTCTGCAGCAGTGTTCTTCACCGAGTGTACTTCCTGCACCGAGAAATGCGCACACGCCAGTTTTTCACAAGCGCGTGTCCCTTGTCCACCACATTGACGTTGTCACAGGCATTCGGCTGCTAAATCGCCGATCCCTCTCCCCACCCAACCATTTATGTGCATGCCCCTCACCTCTAATCCTTATCTTGTCGAACCCCTTCTTCTCCTCACTCTTAGTCGTAATTCAAATTATGTCTATATTATAATACATAAAAAATAATAATTATTATTATATAATCATTTGGCCGAATCGTACGGCCGTAATTCGTAATCGCGCATGTAATATAATAATCGTTTTTAATGATAAGGGATTAAAATAAAATATAAAAAACGAAAATAAAATCGTAAGTAAAACTACTACAGCTAGTGAATACAAAGAAACGTGTAAATTAGATTTTAAAACAAATTGATTGTGTACATATTTATAATTAATCGTCGTATCGTTATTAAAAAATATATATATATAAATATTATTTTAGACCAAAATGTAGCCATTTTAAAGATAAATTATTGTTCCAAAACAATAGAATTTCGTCTCAGCCCGATAAACAAATCAAAACGATACAATTACCTAATATACAGCCGAACACATTATGGTGTCTACATACAGTTCCTAAGTTTTAGTTACAGTAATTTTATTTTATTTTATTAGATATTAATCATGTGTATACTTCTGTGAAACTGTGATTCCTATACACACATGTTGGCTTTAAGTTTTACTGCATTTCGTACGTTTTTAAGAGATAAAACATTTTTTACCTCGAAATTAGTAAGAAAAAATGACAAAATATATACAACATTGTTCCTCGTATATAAAGCCACTAAAATACATATTTTTTTTTTATAGTTCCTGTTCATTCGCCATTTTGTTTTTTTTTTTTAATTTTCTGAGCCATAAAACGCATACGTTTGAAAAATTTTGTAATTGATGGAGTGTAATATTACCAGTAATTTGATTATTGAAGTAGGTAATATTATTTAACCAACGAAATTACATTAAAACTTTACGTGTCTCCAACAGCGGTCGGTCAAATTTTGATAACAGCTTTCATTAAATATCATCATCATCATTATCATTATTACTGTAGTAATATAACAACAGTAACAATCCAAATAAGCAAATGGTTAGAGTTTACAAGAGATGGTGCGTCATACCTATTTCAAAGGTATTATTATATGGCAAACGTTAAATTTTATTTTAATTCTTGCAATAGTTCTAATAGGATTTTAAACTCAACTATAGAGAAATACACTCGTCACTCATGCAGGGTAATCATGAAACATTTATAATACAATACAGGTACCTCTATATACATAATAAAAATAATAATAGTAATAAATATCAGGAACGATAATAAATCTATTATACGATAATTATTCACACAAATACACCTCAAACCAAAAAGTTCATTATTTATAGTATTTATTATAATTTAAAATATAAAATAGTCTGTTTTACTAATACACTTGTGTGTAAATAAAAAATAAAATTAATAATATAAAATAACAATATGTGTTAATTGAGTGCAATGTATTACTTTCACGGTGATTTATTTGTTACCTTTTATTTATAATAATATAGTAAATGTCTTAAGTTTATATTTCTTAAGTTCCAGCAAAGCTTTTTATTCTATTTTATTTCCTAAGGCTGTGTTTCTACTCCGTTTCATATATTTCAAGTGTACAAACAAATAAATAATACGTCATATTATAATATTACGTTATAACCATATTACATTTAAAATACCTCTACGGATAATTATATAGATTATTATACATTTTTATAATACAATAATGGTGCAGCATCTCAGGGCATTAACTAGATGTACCAATTTTCGTTAGATAATAATTATTCTATAAATATAACATATTATATATATTATAATTAAATCACATAACGTCCGATAGTTTATAACCTATTTTAAATGTGTTTGTTTCATCTGTTTTTATCATGTACGTGTAAATTAATTGAACAAAAAATTGTATTGTTAATATTATAGAAAGTAGACGTTTAGGTTAAAAGTAAATTATGAAAAATACTGTTTTCTTTTATTTTTATTTTTATTTTGAGAGTGTGTTATTATTTGTATTATTATTTTATTTTATTTTTTTTTTTTTTTTTGGTAATAGCGTCATTTCTAATGACCTTGTTAAGTTGATTTTTTTTTTTTTTTTGGTATTGGTTCCTGTTATAATTTTATGATTTATCTTTTTAAGAATTATTATTATTATAATTTAATTATTTTTAGTATTTTTTTTTTTTTTTTGTCCTGAAACTCTTATCGAGTAAAAATACAAATTATGTTGTTAGGTTAATCAATTAATGTAATTTAATTTTAAAATTATTAATTAATTTACGTATTATTATTATTATTATCATTATTATTATTATTATTATTATTATTATTATTATTATTATTATTATAATGATTATTATTATTATTGTGAGAATCGAAAAAAGTTGATGAATGAATGTCGTTGAAAACGAAAAATTATAAGATGTTATACGATTCGTAAACAAAATAATAATTACAAAAAAAAAAAAAAATAAATAAATGAAAAAAAATAATAAAATAATAAAAATATATCAATTAAAATTTATGTTTTTTGATTTGGTTTTCCACTACGATAAAATATTATAATTTTAAGTGTATATTATGTTTGTATATTTTGTTACCTTTGTTTATTCAACGAATAACATTACAAAAATATTGTTCGTTCATCAGAATATTATTCTTCAAATTTGGTTTTTTAACCAGGCCACAGAATTTATTAAATGGAAATATTTTAAAAGGTGAATTGAGTTAAGTTTTTGATCCAATAAAAAATCTTGACAAGGTCAGACATAAACATGTAGATGATAGTTTTTTAAATAATTAATGTATTGCCAAACGAATATATAGTATACATTAATATATTAAGGTATGATAAAAAATATAGATAGTCTCTTACATGCCACGTAATATTAAATAATAAATTTAATGTTTTATTTTTATCTATTATTTAAGTCTCAGTCAACACGATTTGAATTTTAAATAATTAAATATAGTATTTTTTTTTTTCGTGAAATGGATTTATTGAAATAAAATAGATAATAAATAATGTATATTGTATACATATTTACATCGTGATAATGCATACCATAATTTTATTTTTTACAATCTAGTTATTATAAAAATGATTGACCTGAAAAACTTAAGGTTTACGGTCTTTAATCCTTGATTTATATCGAGTAATTTACGATAATTTAGTTATTTTATTTTTTCTTGAAACACGATTTTAAAAATGAATTGTTTATAATATTATTTACTTAAAATGGGATTTTAACCAATTTTGGAAAAATTGTATATTTTCGTGTGGATTTTAGTAATTAATATAGAGTGGTATTAAGGCACTACTATACTGCTGCAATAAAATGGTTGAAGTAATTTAGATTTCATGATGTCACTTATGTTCTGTGAAGAATAAATGAAACTTATTTTTTTTTATATTACAACTAATAAGTGTAAATATAAAAATATTTGTCATACAATATTATGCTAACATTGTCAAAAACTGTTATTAAATTAGTATGTTTATAAAAAGTTTAGAATACTTAAATATTTCTATGTAAAACAAATTGTATTTAAAAATAAATTTTAACAGATTTTTAATATCCACAGAACAGCACGAAAAGTCATCAATCATAAGTCATGGCCATGTAGTTTAAGTTACTCCATCAAAAAACTAATACGTTTTAAATTTAAATTCATGTGTCTAGTTTACGCTTCTTTCCCAATCGACCTGAACGAATTGTTTACATTTTATCATAACGATTCCTTTGTATTTGTATCATTATTAAGTAACAATACAATAAACGATTGCCTGGAGGCAGTTGAACAAACATCAAAATCTCACGGTTTGTGTTACTTGGGGCTGATTATGTAATATGATGGGTCGAACGTTACGTAAAACGCAGGGCAGTACATTTAATACACACAAACCGTTAAATTGTACATTGTATATGGAATTTCGGTTAGCGTGTGTAATGTGTACGGAATCAATAGTATACCAATATGGGGAGTAATAGAATTTAAAACCTTATGAGCCCTATATTGTGCTGATTTTGTCGAACATAATATAGGTTACCCTAAACGAATTGTTTCTGTTAAAATAATAATAACAATTAATTATCTGGACAATAGTAATTTTCTCTGAGCTCTGCAGACGCATTAGATGGTCATTTCATGTTTTTGTACGTAAGCGCCGAGGTATAGGTTGATCAATTAGTGATAAGCTATAATAAAAGGATATGAATTGGGAGAAGCGTGTTTTAATTATGTTAGAGGGAAGGGTCTATCGAAGGAGGGATGATGTAAGAGGGAATTAATACGAAAATCGAAATGAGATATACTTAAACGATTCGAGCGCACAAGTCTCCCCTAACACAAGTCTCAAATGATATTTTTACTTTAGTTGCCAAATTGTATTTCGATTGAAAATGATGGTTGATAGTTGATTTTTTGTCTTTAAAGAACAAGTACGTCAAAAAATACCAAAAGATATAAATATTTGGTTTTATTTAGTTCCATTAGAACTCTTTTAAAATATTATTAACGTGCAATATACATAATGGTTAGTTAAAATATCCGTTTATAAAGTTTGGTCGGTATTCAATAGTAAATGGTCACAATATTATCGAGTGCATGTGTATTATTATATTTTTTCTTTTTTTATTGTTATTCGTTATATATTTTATAATAATTAATTGTTTCAGAAGTTAACGAGAGTGACAATTATTCACTGTTAACAAAGAAAACTAAAATTTAAAAATAAAATAGATAATTGATTTTTAAAGTTTTTCAAAGTCCTTTAAAAGATTTAACTATTCGATCATTCTTGTTAAAATTTAAATATTTAGAATAAAAATCATATAAAATCGTATGTACATAACGTTTTCAAATGCATACAGTTAATTTAAAATGGCAAAAATTAAAAAATACCTTTAACTTAACTAGAAATTTAACAGTTCAATGTTAAAACAATAATAGAGATGTATAAGTCCTATTCGGTTATATTTGTTATGACTGTTTATGAATAACTTAGCATTTGTTTTATTCGATGTGTCTGTTTTCATTTTAAACGGTATATATGAATAATATAATATATATATATATTAATATAGGTATTTTAAGGTTATATAACTCAATTCATTGATTGCTGATAATAATGTTTTCTTAAAACTAATATAGTGTCGTAAATAAATATTGAAATAAATTGCATGAAATATTTCTCACTGCAGAATATGCCATTTATCATCGTCACAAAAGAATCAGATCATACAAATAAGTAATACTGAATATTTGAATTATGCACCATTTATTACATACTACAATCTCTATAATATACTTCTTATTTGGTAATTTAATCAATGATACAGTAGCACTTTATAGTCATTAAGTAAGCCATGATTAAATATTTTCAGAATTAGATATTTTCCCTTCTAAAGATGATTTATTTTTAAGTGAAAAATGTAAATCATTTGCAAAAATTGTATACAATAAAAATATTTGATTCTCATGCAATATTTGTTTTCAAATAACCCTAGAAACTTAAAATTATCTTCAAATATTTGTATAATAGTTTTTCCTATTTTAGAAATATATTATTATTTCTAAAAATATTTTTTTCTTCTAATATATATATATTTTTTTTTTAATACTTGACATTTAAAATTGTTTTGTTTTATTTTAGCTTTTAATGTGTTTTTTAATGATGAATATAAATAACTTATTTTATTTTCCTTGATAGAAAAGTTTGAAAATATAATACATTATAATTTACAAAGAAACATTTTTTTTTTTTTTTTTATGGTTACTAGAATTACATATTTTTATGAAATTTAATATCGTAACAAAAAAATTTAAAAAAAACATTTTTCGTAGAAATGTATAGCTTTTTATGATTTTTTAAGTTTATTATTTTCTTTACATAATCTACTGGCTAAACATTTAAACTAATTTTAAACTATTTATACCATGAATCTAATCTCATTGTTTTACGAGTCCCACGTTAGTACGTTGGTATTGAGTTATAAGTTGAAATTAATAATGTATGACACAACAATTTTATAATTATAATAAATTATTATTATTATTATTATTTAATTCAAATTTAACACACTTATCTTAGTAACCTACTCAATTATGATGTACACTCAAAAACTGTGCTATACAATAGATAGTGATTTTCTTGGTTTTTTATTTATTTAATTTATAGCTTATAACTTTATACCTATGATTAATAATCTCAACTATTGATGCAGTTAGTTGAGATTATTAACTGATAAAATTAAAAATACATATAACAATATATTACTTGTAATAAATCATTTATTATACTTTTACAACCAATTTTATCGTGTTAAACTATTAAACAATATGAATAAAAAAAAAATCAT